AACATAAAATAGTATACGACGCTACAATTTAATTTACTTCGAATAATCATGATCTTCTTTATATTTAATATGCATTTCGGCAACAAAACTTACTCTTTTTTTTCACATGCTTCTGGCATGTAGTCAGAAGCCATATCATTTCCATACAAATATAATATTGTTGACAATATCATACAATCTAATGTAATACCATATAAGGATATACTATCGTTGGTATTACCGTTATTATTAGATATGCTATTATTTTGCTTAAAGTCAAATTTATGCCACCATCATACAAGATAAGTACCAATGCTTTTATTCTCTTCGATTTGCGCTGATGTGCTAAGTTAAGCTCTACTCATAGCATTGTGTGAAAATTCATTACCTTAAAAGAAATAGCATGAATGCATCTCATCACTGATTTACTGGTAGTCTAGAAACCCTACTTATGAACAAAATATAAGTTACTTCACTTGAGTTTTTAGATTTTTCCTCAATTATAATACAACTATATTCTGGTTTACTTATTATTAGACTTCTAAACACTACCTGATCAGTAGTTAAAGTCAAGATGTTTCTCTTCGTTCTCGGCACATATTATTTTAGTTTGGATCAGGCGGAGAAACCAAGATTAAACTGCAGAGCTTTTGATTAAATAGCATATGATAACAGTTATTCACTTGTTAAGATTCTACGGTTCAGAAATCAGCCTCCCTAGAACCAGAAGGAGGATCGCTTTAAAGTTTTGGCTGATGGATTGTGCAAGGATATTCTTGACCTGCCACCATGCAACACCGATGAATTTGTACTGAGCTTTTTCACGTGGGACGGACAACAATCATTTGGGCCAGAAAGCATCATTTACGAAACTTCATCAAAATAATAACCAATAAAAGCGGCGAGTCGAAAATCTACACATTAATTTTGGGGATGAAAATCATGTATGGAAATGAGGTAGATGGGGTTATAGATATTTCCACATGTAGAAACAAAATATCGGACGATGCTTTACCTGGTTTTACATGTATTGTGTATATGAAGGGTTTGTGAGTCGTTAGTTTTGAGTAGCCTAACCACTTTAAAGGCTACTTAAGTCTCCTAATTTTGCTAAAAATGTATTCCTGCTCCTTTTTCTTTGCCTCACCCTAAGCATATCCAATGGCCACCTATAGTCCCCCCCCTAATTTTCTACACTCGGTTCTCCGGCATTGTCAGTGAAAGACACCATTCTAAGCCCCCAGTTATGAGTAATCAAAAAGGGACTCATACTCTGGGTCTACCTTCCGAGAAGTTTCGGACCTTATTTCTAGTTTAGGATACCAAAATATTTTTCGCCTATGTGGTTTGTCTATGTACCGATGATTATCCGACCAATCCAGAAAACATTTAGTGAGCATAAAACAGTAAACGAATTTCTATGGCTCCAAAATCTCAACATACTGAGCAAATGGTTAATAAATAACATAAACGAAATTAATAAATAAAAGAACCGAAGTCCACAACCTCCTCATGTATCAACTTTATTCATTTGTGTGTTTGTATATAGAACAGAAAGTGTATTTACCTTTAGTTGCAGAAGTGATAAAGGAGCCTTCATATGAGGACACCTCATTATTCCATTAAATTCCATTAAGTTTCACTTTCCAACATTCTCCTCTAGACAGGACTGTAGTTTCTTCCTCGCCTGGGTCTCACCGTCACCTCAACGGCAATCGAGCTTATGTAGTGGTACAGAATTTTAACATATTTCCTCTCCGCCAGACGGCTAAAAATGTCACCTGGTTAAGTTATCCTTTATGCAAAGTCTGGCCTCGCATCATAATTATGATATGATATCGGGAAGACTCGCTTTTTTGTTATTGTAATTAAAAATTTTACTCATAATGATATTTAGTTAGTCCAAATACTAAAAGTAAATCTTAACTGAGAATTGTACACTTCCTGTGTCGCATGAGGTGAGGTTGAATTTTATCATAGTGGTTTGAGTATTACATTTCATTTAACCTTACCGATAGAAAGATTTCCTCATCAAGGATGAACTTTAGTTTAGACCTTACCTCCTTTTATCGCCCAAACGTGAAA